CAAGAAGTTGTTGACTATGGTCTTCTTCAGGACATTGTTCCTTCGATGTTCTTGAAGCACGAATCTTGAAGTACGTACTATAGATCGAATCTTTATGCTTCCACTATATAAGCATAAGTCTACTTAGGCTCTAGTTATTAAATATCTATGCATGTGTATATATTTCACTGACAATCTATTAATGCTAATTATTTCGATTTTGATTCTTAAAAGAGTATAAGCTTTGTGGACGTTTTTGCAAAAAAAAAAAAAAAGAAGCTTTGTGGACGTCTTTAATTTGTATGTTCCAACTTCCAACATTTGTCCTCTTCGAATTTGGATATTTTGTATGATTTTGAATTTCGTGCATGTATTCTGAGAATGATTTCACTTGAATCAAACATTTTATTGGTCAACAAAATTGCTAATTTATGTATTACCTAGAATAGAATCCGCGTTGATACGCGCGTAAACATATTAGAAATTATTAATATAAATATTTGAGTTTTAATTAGTAACCTGTTGAATTATAAAAATATTTTGAAATATTATTCAAACATGTGTTTTAAATCATTAGAGATCAATTCATATATTAATTTTTATGTTTTAATTCATATCATGCAGATCCATATATATAAATAAGTGACAAAAATACTCTTACGCATTATGAATATATCTTAGTTATGTTTTAAAATCACTAAAACAATTCAAATATTATAGAGTTAAATAAAAAAAATTATATAAATGATCTCATAAAAACCTATATAATATTTTATAAATATTATTATCAAGCATCACATATAAATTAATGATTGATTAATGCATACCATTGATGTCATTAGTTTATTTCTTATAGATCTATATTCATCAAATCTCAAAAACACTCTTGGATTTTAATAGCAAATATACTATTATTATTTTAACTTGTACAAATTTTCATTTTATACAATTTTTTTTAACATTGAAAAGTACCAATACCTTCATAGGTCGAAGATTTTTTTTTTGTGATATTCTATAACTATGTTGACAAAATAATTATGCTTATAGATTTTTTTGTTTATTTGGTATGGTTGGGCATATCTTTTTTTTTTGTCAACCAGTCATTTCATTAAAATAAATCTCGTCCGTTGGTTACCCAATTTAAAGGTATATTGCATACATAAAAGAAAAATCAATCACGGGTTTGTATATCTTAAACTTTTAAATTGAGATTTCTATAACTTTTCTAATTTTTTGGTTTTCAATTTATATAATACCTTTTGATTTATCATTCTTAATTGAAATTTTTATTTTCTTTCCATTTTTTATTTTTCTATGATTTATAGTTTTTCTATTTTTTTCTTACTTTATTTTTATATTTTTTTATCTAATTAGTTTGGACTATTAGAAATTTTCTTTTTTTTTAATTAGTTTAAACTATAAAAAATTTTATTTTTTATTATTTGGTTAATTATTTGACACTTATTTTTTCCTATTTTCATTTTTATTTTTATATTTTTTTAATTAATTTTAATTGTTAACACATCTTATCGTCTGATGAATATTAATCACATGTCGCGATCTAATAAATTATAATTTTGCTTATATGTCAAGTTTTCATCGTGCACCTCTTTTTTTATATAATAAGATTTGCTTTTATGTAAAAATTTACGCTTTTTTTTGTTGTTGGTCGCGTAAAAATGCGTAAATTGTTGACTCTCGTTTATGTTAATAATTCATACGTCTATTTTATATACACGTGTTCTCTATTTTTCATCGTATATCTATTGGCAATTGATTCCAATTCATAAACATGTTTCCGATAAATTCTTGTTCTTATTAGTATTGATCTACTTGAAACGTTTTTCTATAGATTGTTTCAAAAGCAAACAAAGTCGCATTTCAATAATGTCTATATGCCAATAGAAAGGACGAAGCATCTGTAACCGATAGATAGTTATCGCGACACTTACAACAAAAAAGAGAGAAAACTAAAATCGGCAGATTCAGCCAATGATTTTACAAACAAAAATATTAAGACGCACTTTGGTTTTTACTTTTAAACGATATTTGGAAGAGCTAAGCTACTCGTCTGCAGTGGCAGAGGAGTGGTGCGGGAAGCTTGCCCAGACATCTTGCCACGTCATCTTACCCTCCGCGACTGAGCTCACAACCGAGGCAGCTTCCTTCAAACTAACACGAACCTGGTCTTTGCTGTCTCGTTCTCGGATTGTCACAGATGTGTCCGAGTCCACGGTTATGGCAAATGGAACACCAAGCTCGTCAGTTCTCGCGTATCTCTTCCCTATCGATGTACCTGTTC